GCTTATATATACAATATAATATGCTAATTCCTAGTAAGAGGTATACGCTTATCTTTATTACCTCCTTTAGGTATAGGATAAATAATAGTTCTAAGCCAAACATTTGGTATTTTGCTATTTTCAAAACATAAATTAAAGAATATATGAGGCATACTTTTCACATTATCATTTTTGCGACCTTTAGCAAATAAAACAAGGCATTAACAAAGTGACACCACCTAGTTGCTCACAATATTATTAGTTCAATCTCAAGTCAGTTTTGAATTTCTGAGAACTTGTAGACGATTTTGAAAAGAAATTGGTAAATTTGAAGGAAGTTGAAAAAGACCTTTTGACTTTGAGAAGGTCATTGAAGGTCAAATCTTTTTGACCTCCGAAATACCATTGAAGGTCAAATCTATAGTCAGATTTGAACTTTTGAGAACTTGTAGATGATTCTTTTTAAATGGTCAATTTGAAACAAGGTCAAAAATACCTTTTTGATCTTTTATGACCTTGAATAGGTCATTGAAGGCCAAATCTCAAATCTAAAGTCAGATTTGAACTTCTTAGACCTAGTAGATGATTTTGAAAAAAATTGGTCTATTTGAAATAAGTTGAAAATACCTTTTTGACCTTTTTTGACCTTGAAAAGGTCATTGACGGTCACACCTTAAATATAAAGTCAGATTTGAACTCGGGAAAACATATATGATTTCAAAAAAATTGAAGTCAGTCTAAACAGTTATTGGAAGTTTTAAGAATTTGTTACTGGTGCCAACCGCCAACCGCCAATCGCCGCCACAACAATAACATGAGATATGAAACCATTACAATATGTCACCACTCTTTGGTGATGACATAAAAATCAAATTCAAAAACAAATTAAAATAGGCTATTTATTACGAGTTGAGTTGACCTATTGAGCAATTTCTTACAATAATTAGGTCATCATAAAACAAAATGGGACATTATCGTTTATTTGGAACTAATGCCATTCATCCCGTAGACATTTAACTGGGAATCGTGCCTATAAATCATTTGACCAAATTATATTCACTAAAGGAAGCACTCTACATGTACGAGGGGTGATCAATAAGAAATGGACGCTTTTTTACACAGATACTTTTTATATACCAATCCCTTTGATTTTCCTACTAGTGATAAATCATTCAATTATCAATCAATTCTAAAGATTTGAAGACAAAATATATAATACATGTTGATATATATATCCTTATTTCTGAGAAGGAGGTACAGGTACCCCGGGACCGACATTAACGTCACATATTCAGTTTTTAGCCAGTTTGGCATATTTCAGTTAGATTTGAACTTTTTTATATGCAACAAGTGTTACGTGTAATTTTGAAATATTTTCCTGACTGGTAACACATAAACGGTAAGTACTGTGATGTCAAAGTGTTGTATGGTCGGGTTTGCAGGTCAATATGAGAAATTGCATTGTGAGAGAAGGGGTTAGTGAGAGAAGGGAACACCCTACCCCATATGGACAATGCACCTGCCAACAGATTTCAAAATGTTCAGAATACAATATCCCTGGAACTCAACATTGAGCCCTTGGCCAATGCACCATTTTGTCCAGGTCTGCCCACATGTGACTTATCTATTTCTATACAACTTATTCCTTTAGAGAAGGGACACAGGTTTAATGACATTGATGAAATAAAACAAGCTATGCAACTGAATCCTGCTACCATGGCAGAGAATGGATTCGGCCTTGTCTCACAATCTTGGGTTAAGAGGATGAGGAAGTGTGTACATGTAGCACTTGATGGAACTATGTAGAGGTTCCTGTAGAATGAATGTGGCATAAATACCACATAGTGATGATAAAATATTCAAAATCAACGATGACAACAAAATGGGATAATTCATGACCATCATTGTTTATTTCGTTCAGCCTGCATTCAACTGCATTGCATGTTAAACAAAGTAAAATAGGTTCAAATATTTGACGTAAATGTCGGTCCCGGGGTACCTATACCTCCTTCACGGAAATAAAGATATATCAACATGCATTTTTGTTTTGTTTTCAAATCTTTAGAGCTGATAGATTATTGAATGATGTATCACTGGTAAGAAAATTAAAGGGATTGGTCTATAAAAGCATCTGTTTAAAAAAGCGTCTATTACTTATTGATCACCCCTCGTATGTTTCTGAGAGTAGTCCGAGTTCTGCCTAAAATTCCACTTTGCGCTGACAAGACGAGTACTAAAAGCTAATATATTAGTTGATTACAGAATGCATTTGTCTCATTAACGACCATCTTACTTGTGGAGGGCGATCCGAATCAATAATTGTGAATAGACCAATTTGGACATACGTTCGTTACTTAACTGCATCTGTTGTAAATCTGTCATTTCTCTCATGAATGGTCATGAGGTCCATGATTATACCAACTTGAGACAGACTCGGTTATTCACCATCCGGAAATCGATTCCCAAAATTTGAAACGATTCCTGCGATGATGTTATTCCGCTACTCTCTGAATATCTAGGTGTGTACGACTCTCCTTTAGCCAATCTAGGTGTTTTATACGACTCCCCTTCAAGCCCATCTAGGTGTATTCTCCGACTCCCCTTCAAGCCCATCTAGGTGTATTCTCCGACGTATATCTATGTGTGTTATACGACTCCCCGTTAAGCCCACTTAGGTGTGTTATACGACTCCCCTTTCAGCCCATCTAGGTGTATTCTCCGTACGACTCTCTTTGCGGCATTCTGTCATACGATTCTACCTACAGATGTGCTATACGACTGAGAATGCGAGGAACTGTTTAATATCCTAAGTTTGATAATTGATAGTTTTTCATGCAGATGACAATGTTAGTCTTGTTTGTCAGGAGTTTTGAAGCACAGCGATTTCTATAGACCAGTATCCTGGTATTCATCTACTATAATAACAGACAAAGGGGCAGTCGCAGAATATTCAGACCATGGAATGAAAGCAATGAAAACGTGTAACTTAACTTCCAAAATGAATTGAACGGATGGATTGAACGGAGCATATTATTTATACATTTATTTCATTTTACCGTTTAGATAATGAATGGAAAATAATATATGCTACATAACCCGCAAACCCCCATAAAACATCTCAAAAGGAATAATATAAGCCAATGCATCATATTTTTTTGTCTTAATTCGGTTGATCTTGGAGATCCTTTGAGGAGAGAAGAGTTATCAGGGGACCAATTCCTTCACGTCTTCTGGTCTATAAGATAATATTGATATAGATATCTGTACGTTAGCCGATATTATATCAATCATGACTGACCTGCTGGGGCTTCTAAACATTAAACCACCGGAGTAGCTTCCTATACATTTACCAGGTCGATTGGTCAACATTAGCTGAAAATAGTCAAATGAAATCAAATAATATTTATGAGGCTTGAAGCTCATTTGCATAATTGAAAACCAATGGGGTGGCAATTCGATTTGCTAAACTTTGTATTTGCTTTGCTGTTTAGGCAGCTGGGGCTTAGACTGATTTATCATTGGGATTTCTTCCAAATGTCGAATTTTTGTTAAATCAAATCAGATGCACTTTGGCAGGGACGTTTAGACTCGATGGTTGTTGAAGCAAGGCATAATGTCGATGATCGGTAAAAAGTTGATGTTCTTCATTTCCATTGGGAAAGGTGAGTGGATTTATTATTCTAATTATTCATAGCTTAATAACACGGGATCTTTATTCCATTGAAAATAATATGTTTTCATTAAAGGGCCCCGGTGTTTATTTCCGACCCTAGAATGTACCAAAATTGAAAACAAAAGCCAGAATGACCCGAAACTTGCAATATCAACAAACTTTGTTACAGATCTTCTTATCCTGTAAATAATAACTAGAGCTTAAAAATGCTCACAGAAAATTAATTCCTTTTAATATAAACTATAAGAGTCTGAGGTGCAGGGTATTTTTGGATAAGAAGCGTAGTATCTGCAGTCTAGTAATGGTTATATCACAGGTTACTGTGAGGTTGACAATTTAACATTGAAACTGACTCAACTAAACGAATTTCAATCTTTCTGGGATTGTACAAAATGTTGTTAAACAGCTTTATTGTAACGTTTATTGAAATGTTGAACAATTACACTGGTTTGCATAATTGAGATCTATCTCCATATGCTTCAATATATTAAATAAGAGCGCAACATGATGAAGATGTCTGTTACGAAGTGTTGAGAATTGAATCCCCGGATATCCCAATTAATACACTGAATTACAACTGACACCGTTCAGTGTTACCCGATAAACCTAATATCAATCATGGTCAAATAAAGCGATGTTTCTAAAAGAGATCGTCGCTCGTCATTGAAGACGAGTTTAATAATAACTGGATGCACAATTAATTAACTCTATCGCAGACATGTATTTATACGAATTCAGTTACAGCGAGTTGAAACCAACTGCAAAACTAATGCGTGAAATTTGACGTTTACATTACTCTTTTGGAATTTGTTTTCAGAAATATGAGTCTCTTGAGCTACTAGAGATAGTTCTACTAAACGAGGGTAACATTCTACCAAGATTGGCCAGAGAATATGTCAAACACGATTTCCTTGCCAAGGCGCGTCATCAAGGTAGACGCGGAGTGGTTAACGCAGCACAACACGCACTACTTGAGACGCAACCGGTGGCAAGAGCGCACCTCTGTCATAGGCCCGATATGGCTACTCGTGACAATGACGAGCACACTCTACATAGGCACGGGATATATTCTACCGTTATTCTATACAAAATTTATTACTTTAAAACTCAATCAAATATTTGCCTGTTTCGTCTATGGGGAAATGTTGCTCAATTGGTTGTGTGTTCGATTGGTAGACACGAAATATGTCTATGATCCAGATTTAATGACGCCTGAGTATAATTATATAAATCTGCTGTCTTTGGCAAATGGCAAATATGGGATGATAAAAGATCATAAAAAGGATCACGAAAATGTAATTTCGAAAACAACTCCAAATCCAAAAGCATTAACTAATGGAAACATTGACCCTAAGCCAACCAAAAAGAAAACTCAGGTGTATGTCGTTACTATTCACCGAAAGACGGAATTTGGTGTCGAAAAGTCTACGTATCCATATTGGAGTTGGAAACCCTGCATCACGTGCCAACATGAGAGACCTCCCAGGGTGCACCACTGTCACGTGTGCAGAACCTGTATACTCAAGCGTGACCACCATTGCTTTTTCACCGGCACTTGCATCGGGCTCAACAATCAACGCCATTTTGTGGTATTTGTATGGTGGACGGCAATAGCAACGACATTCTCTCTGGTACATGGCATAGCCTACTGTTACTGGTATTTTCTGGCAGATTCCTGGTGCATGGACGTTATCTTACCCGTGACCGTCTTCCGTTGCATTATGGGTTATGACGTATCGTACTTCAAATGTCTCCTCGTCGCGATTGGTTACTCCTTGCTATGGTTCTGTCCAATCTGTTGGAAGTTCGTGTTCGACCAATTTTACACAATTAGCAATGGAATTACAACGTTTGAGCTGGGTAACGAAATCAAGGTGGTCAATACAAACAGTTGTAGGAGGAACATAAGAGGGGTCTTCGGCAATTATTGGATTATCAATTTCATCATTCCATTACATTTGATCTTCAAGCCGCACGATTCTGGTGTGTACTGGCACGGAGTCAGTGCTTGAAAGACAACAATTTGAACCTGACAAGAGTAACAGTCAGTCATGCAGTGAAACATAACCAGAACGCATCGCTTCAAAAATATCTATGATAATATTAGTTTCCAATTACTCTTTGAAAAGTTCCCACTCGTCTCAATAACAGTGGGTTTGAGAACAAAAATAAAATTAAAATGATTTTAATTTTTTATTCAGAATATTACTTTCACACTTTCTGGGCATACCCTGTAATACCCTTTTTCAAACTGTATTTCTTCATAAATAAAAATAAAGAATCGAGTATGGTACATGGCAAGTAATTTTAGACAGTAATTTTGACGATCTTCTCATATATATTTCTTATTAGAATAATTGTTTCCCACCAAGTAAAGTTCCGTGGATAGTAAAATTATCGATCGGAATCTCCGAAAAGGTGGATTAGGACCCTACCTATATTTTTCAAAGTGATTTTATTTTCTAAAAATAACATCCTTTTTTATTACATAAATAGTTTAATAGCAAGATTATTACTAATTGATTAAATACAATTAAACATTATTATGTCCAAAAATGGAGGCGAAATAAATATTAAATCTTACAAGGCATTAACATGCAAAATGTTACCACCTGCCATTTGTTACAGACGTCAAACGCCGAACACAGTCCACAAAAAGGTTGGAGACTGTCATTACTTGTAGTGGTGATATAAACATGATACTATAGATTATATATTCACTTTACTGACCAGTGCGATTTAAGAAACTGTTGACATGAGACGATATGAGAGAAATTAAGATCCTTTTTAGAAAATAAATCCGACATTTTGACAAGTGTCCGGAGATTCTAAACATTGGATTTTGGAGAGTTGGTATTTTTCTATCCTGTTAATTTTCCTATACACGAAGAAAACATATTATTTCAAAAATGAAAACTGTTACAGAGTGAGACGCCGAACGCCGATCACAAAAAACGGTGGCTATAACATTAATCACACTTTAACCTAGAATGGCCAAAATCTTATCAGAAGTTGATACTGCTTTGTAGAAATTCCAAGTTGAGCAGATAGACGATTTTCCTTGAATTTTGATGACAAGATTTATATGGCGACGCCAGTCCATACACTGCATGCAAGCAGGACCGCCCGCCCGACAATATAGCACTTTCTCAAAGAGCGATAAAAACATGCTAAATCAGCCAAGCATTCCAGAGTAAGAGTTTTTAGTTCTGTTATGATCAGAAAATATGGAAAAGATCAAGTTCCATAAAATTGGTTCACACATGAGACTGAAACTATTTCAGTGGATAAGACATGTAACAAAATATGACCATCTGGTTAGTAGTTACACACAGTATTAGAAAGTGAAACTGATGTTTGTGATAAATAAGGGTTATATACTGAGAGGTTTTGGATATGGGGTTTATCCAGAGGGAGATATGCATATCTACCTGAGGGACTGTAGGGACCGAATATGTGCATATCTCACGAGGGATGAACGCTATATCCAAACCGACCGTCCATAACTGCTTTATCCTATACCAAGTAGAGTTTTCTAATTTTCTATTTTTTCAATTTTTTTCACATTTTTCTCATTTTTTTCAATTTTTTCAATTTTCTCTCTCTTTTTTTCTTTTTTTCAATTTTTCTTTTTTCACCTTTTTCACATTTTTTCTTTTTTTCAATTTTTTCAAATTTGAGCTATGCGTGAGCAGGACGAAGTCAGAGGAAACTCTGATGGAAGTCCGTAGCGATTCTGACGTGCAAATCGATCGTCAAACTTGCGTATAGGGGCGAAAAACTAGTTCAACTAGTTCAAAAATGAATTAAGCAAACAGCCAAGTATAAGTCCAGTTCATCACAATTACCACATGCAATATCATACACAATATAATGAACACCCACGTGGGAATATCAATCACAGGTAATGTTTGGAATATTATATTCAGACAAACTCCCTCGAGAAAACACTTGGTGTTAACTGGATCTGTTCTTAAATTTCTGCATCTGCATAGCTATGCCACTTGTTATCATGGTAGCAGTTTTATTCTGTCCATAATAATCCACAAATTCACCATCAGGATTCACAAGGTACATGATAATTGTATGGTCAACCTGGAATATAAGAGCGTATCTTGTAATGTAGAACATGGAAAAGTAATCAGTGTTCTCCCCAGGATCTTTTCTCAAGTGGATGCAGTGCCACCCCCCCCCCCATCCTGCTTGATGCTGGAGAGATTACTAGTAATATTGGTGTTAAAAATTCAAAGCTAATTTTATCAAAATGTATCTAGGGCCTAGGATCTATTTAGTTTATACCAATATATGCAAATCTGTTTCAGATTGTTTCCAAATTTGCTTCAGACTTATTAGAATGATATTTACACTTATCAGTCTGTATTGCAACAAAAGAGGTCTCACGCTATAGAGTTCATTTCTTAATAGAATTCCCTTGTTTTGAGTAATATTTATAAAGGAAACTTTATTAAATTATTTTCAAACTTCAATGAAATTAATTACATACTGTTTCAATATTTGCGAATAGGACAATGTCTCAAGCCCCAAACAGTATCAGCAACACGCCACTGCTAAATATACTTTGAAATGTTTTTGCTTACTATATAATCATTGTCCTCGTCCCTGGGTCCCTCGCTATAGTAGACCCTATAGGCCCTGGTTGCTGTATTCACTTGATCCTTTGAGCCTGTCAGTCCTATGATTTTGTCAGAGAATTCTGCAATTACAACAAACTACCTTAAACCCTGGACTACCCAGAGTGACAAGATTTCTCGTCACCTCAGAAATGACCTTGAAACCCAGAGTTACAAGATAATCTGTCACAAAGTTTCAAGTGTCAAGAAATGATCTCCGCCGTCTAATTTTACTAAAATGAGCATCATCCCTCGTACATGTATATTTATGCACTAGTCTAAAATGTAAAAAGCTGGCAAAAATGAAAAATTATCTGGTTTCTAACGATTTTAGAACCTGAGTTTCAAGAGGTTTAAAACATACACTTTTTAGAGATGTCATTATAGTTGGGACAAAATGTTACATCAGTATTATGAATAATGTAATTCATTTATAATGCTTACAGCAATGTCTGGTTGCAATTCCCTTCATTTGTAGTACAGTTTTGCAGTGACTTCAACATGCCATCTCATGCATGTATGTTTTGTATTATTTTACACAAAATCTATTTCCTTTAGTGGATTGAAAAGACAACATATTTTAACTAAATGTGCAATTTTCCAGTTAAATTAAAGCTTTAAAATAGAAAATAGATGCTTCTTTTGCAAGGTTGGAAGGGTGGTCCAGCAGTTCATAACATTGGTTATACGCAGAATTTAGTGTGATACATTTGAAACAATCCCTAAGACATGAGCCATACCTTTAACATATTCAGCAACAGCTGGGACAGTATCCCTCTCAGGGTCAACACTGATGAACAATGGAGTAACGTTTGGTATCTGCTTAATGGCATCTGGAACATGTACATTTACATTTATTCAAAGACACAGTCAGAGAAGGCATGCCAGAGCAACTGGGCCAAGAAATACAGAAGTATGTGAAGCATTTCAAGGTCTGCCCATTTTCTTTTAATTTCAGACATCTTGAATACTCAGAGTGACTGATATATTATTCACAATATTCTCACTAAAATGGTTCCAACATTGATAACATTTTGTTCAGCTACACAAAATATGTATTTATATGTGTGTAATTTTTCTATGATCAGTAATATTACCAAAATAAACATTTTATATTAAGACAGAAATATTGCAAAAGTAAGTGGAAAATGAAAAATGTTTTGGTATTCAAAAGGTAAATTGAATTGAATATACATGTAGTTTTACTGTCCTTTTTCTGGGGAAGCATGTACATTTCTAAATTATTGCAATAAAAAAATCATAACAGTTTTTACCTATTTCATCTACAACTTGGACCATCTTATCAAGTTCCTCAGGGCAGATATCAGGACAATGCGTGAAGCCAAAGTATAAGAGACACCACTGGCCATGAAAGTCTTTACTGCTACGTAGTTTATTATTGTGGTCCACCAGCTCCCACTCTCCACCAATCTTAGCCTTTCCTACTGCCCGCTTCCTTTCTTTATCCTTCTCTGAAGTGGATATATATATTCAAAATTTCGGTTCTCAACATTCTGATACTCATAGCATCTCTCTCTGTTTCATCACAGAAGGATAAAGACAACAATGGGTTCTCAATGTCAATTTCTGTTCTCAATATCAATATTAACTATGTAAGCTTTGTGAGAGCAGCTAACAACAGAGAATGTTCTGATGTAGTATCAAATGTCTCATTGAAAAATGGGTCATTTGCCCTCAAAAAGACAACCACTGATAAGTTGAGTTGAACTAAGGGAAATCTCTTCTGCTATTACCCATATACCTAGTTAGTTACCCACATAGTCAATTAAACACATGTAATAAACAAGGCATTTATGCAAAATGTCAAGACCGTTTTATATACAGACGCCAATCGCCGTCACAAAAAACAGAGACCATAAAAAAATGTCATCATCTTTTGGAGGTGACATAACTAGTGTAATATTTTACCTTTTTCTTTCTCTTTCTTGACCATCTGCACATAGAACAGCAGTGAACCACCGAGACCTAATGCTACCAACAAGCTCTTCCAGGAAATAGGCTGAAAATATTTAAAAACAAGAAGTTGTATTTCTTAATTCTTGACCAAAGATTTGGCAATGTTTACATACTCTCAATACCCTGAATTTTTTTATTTACAAATTGGATAAACTCATGTACAAGTACATGTATGTCAGAAAATTCTGAAAATCAAAATGCTGAAATATTCTTTCTTTAAGTGAACTTACCCCTTTGCCCTGCATAGGGTCACCTGGCTGCCCAGATTTGTCAGCACATTGTCTTGCGCTTGTGGATAGGTACCTATGAGCAGTACAGTTTACACAGAGACTGGATTCTTCTCCCAATGCTGATAGGTGAAGAAACTTTGAAGAAGATAACTGGAACAAACAATGCCATTTATGATAATAGTTTTAAGATACAATTGCTAAACAATAATTCAAGAATATTTGAATACAACTGAATCAAAATATATATGTAAAGTAAAACCTGTTTATATTGAACTTTTTTTGCTTGGGTATCAATGTTGATTGTAGGCGTTCACAACAGAGAGGTTAATTTATACAGAAGTCAATGAGTATGTGAGGAGGAAGGGTGTCAGTGTCTTCTAGAGACAGGTGTTCACTAAGACAGGTTTTACTGTTTGACTATAAGTAATTGTAAGATTAGAGATGATTAGATTACATTTACAACTAGTACCAAGTAGAGCTAGACTACCTACTAGTGGTATACTCGCAGGGGTGTACTTACATGAATCGAATATCTATATTAGTAAAAAACAAAATTACAACATCACAACAGGTAAATGCTTATCTATTTCCAATCCCATTCTGGTCTTGCCCCGACGACGCACATATTTCTCATCTCAATTGATTCTAAATACCAGCCTAAACACAGGCATCAGAACAGATAGAATTACCCGCCCCCCACTCTGTGTACTAAGTATATAATATTAGTACATTGAGTGTGGGAGGGTACTTCTATCTTATCCCGTGCCAGGACTATAGTCCTGCATTGAGAGCATTCGTTTGCCTGTACGATTACAACATGGGAGAATTTTCTACGCTTCTTACACTTAAGATACCTATTTCAATAGATTCCTTGGTATTTTAGCATTCTTTTCTTGTAGTTGAATCCACAATTGTCTGGGTTTATCGGCAGAACAAAGAAATTTTCGTTTTTAATCACAATATTTGCGTGTAATATTTAACTTATTTCAACCGTCAAATTCCTCCATTTTTGGTGCTTCCGGGCCACTTCCGGGTCAGTCAAACGGGGAATCCCCTTTTAAATCCAACCGCCATCTTGGAAAGTGATGGAATATCTCTCGATGAAAAAGAAAAATGTTCCCGTTCTGCCGATATACCCAGACAATTGTGGATTCAACTACACGAAAAGAATGCTAAAATATCCAGGAATCAATTGAAGTTGGTATCTTAAGTGTAAGGGGCGTAGATAATTCTCCCAAGTTGTAATCGTACAGGCAAAAGAATGCTCTCATTGCAGGACTATAGTCCTGGTACGGGATAACTTCTATCTGTTCCGATGCCTGTGAGCCTAAACATTCTCTCAAACCCAAAAACAGAAGCGACTGTCTCAAATTGCAGAGATATACACTTCAATCTTTAAATTGGGCAATAGATTACACATTAGATTTTAACTTTTGAAATCTAACGTGTGGTTCTATTGAAGGCTCCAAAGACTAGAATTCGTCTTGGATAAGTAAATGCCAGGGGTAAATGCATAAGTACAGCACATTGTATTGATCGAATACATGCGTAACTGTACTGAAGAGTGATTCCAAAATGTTTTTATTTTATTTGACAGCAAGATCCAACAGATCCAATGGATAAAATACACTGAAAGATTGTTGAAAAAATTTTAAAATTGTAAAAATTTCAATTCGATTGGAATTCACCTGTTTTGAAGAATACCGATGCTGAGAGCAGTAAATCTGTTTAACAGCCTTTGAGAAACCACATGATCTCCTTCCTATCAAGTTAAACATTGCTATATTTGTATTATATTCTATTCTACAAGCAAAAAGTAAATTACATGTCTTTTTGAAATATTATGAAATGTGAAGGACAAAGTTCGTTCAGTGTGATTAGCCCTGCGCGTGCGCAAAGGTTTACTTCCGTGTTTTGAACTTTTTCAGAATATTTTCATTTTATTAAATTTATGTAGATTTACAAGGATTGGAGCTCTTACTGAGCTGAATATAATAACATGGCTTCCGTCCGTCCTCGGGAAGGTCAAGAGGAACAACTGCCTGAACCAGGAAGGGTAAAAAGTGGTAAGTTTGTTAGCACTCTTGTTCTCAGTTCTGATCAGTTCAACTTGATTTTTTAAATCAAAGAAGAGAATGTAAACTCCCATGGCCAGTTTCTCATACATGTAAAAGTCTACACTACAGTGGGCAAATGTAAAATTTGAATCTGAAACTAGCCTGTTATTCATTCGAATATTATCAACATGTTCACTTATTTCCATTTGTACTACCCCCAAAAATGGAGTGAGCCTGAGATTTGCTTTTTTCTTATTTTCTAAGCAAATCAGACAAGCCTTCCTATCTTTCGTGGTGGTATTATTTTTCGAAACACATGGAATTTGTACTAAAATATTCACTGTTTACTAGTCACCTTTTTACGATTTTTTGTATTGTCAAGACATTATTTATCAACATGATACCATGTAAGTACCGGATTTTCTCGCATATAAGCCCTGGGCGTATAACTGAAAGAAGGGGTAATTTCGTCTGTTATTTTACCTCTTATTTTTCGCCCATGGGCGTATAAGTGTACTACTTTCGATTTTTGGCCCAGTGGGCGTAAAGGTGAGAAGAGCTGATGAACTCAATTGTTCCTCAAAGACTACCATACCTACTGTTGTAGTCCTACCGCATGTTTTGTAAGAATTATAAAGGAAATGTCACCTACAACCTTGGACTTAATGTTGAAACAAAGTAACAACAGAACGATCCACCACTGCCACTTACGGCACAGCGTTGAACTTAATGTTGAAACAAAGTAACGACAGAACGATCTGCCAGTGACAAAATTTATTGAAAAAATCAATAAATAGTCATTTTGTATAGGCCCATGGGCGTATAAGCGTACTACATTCGATTTTTGGCCCATGGGCCTAAAGGACAAGGTGCAATTATTGACAAATATCCCTATGGTCAAAATGAATCATTCGTAGTTGTAACATGAAGAATAAAATGTCATATAATACTTTGGAAAATATTAAAGTGCTCGGACACACATAAGCTGAGATAGGATCATTTCGTTCAGTAAGGTTGTATTGACTTACATGGGGCTGTGCACCATTGACTTAACATGAGGATATCAGCAGATCCCAATAGAGGCCATTGGTTTCCATTGATTATCACAGAATTACCAAAAATACACTATGACCTGAATCGATTGCAAATTTAATAATTTCACAATACGACACAAATGGTTTATCTCATCAAATGTGCAAATATGAAGTTTGCAATCGATTCAGGTCATACTTAAAATTTAAAGATTGTACATTTTTTCATCATTTTTCCCCTACAAAATGGCTATAGAAAAATGCTCCAAAAACAACTTTTACACTTATCAAATATCATACAAGTTTGTAAAACCAAAGATTATACTATTATATTTCATTATGTAGTAACATATTTGGATAAGATGCAGGGATGCGTAGGATGTAAATCGATTTTGACAGACACAAAAATACTTCCTGGTTTGGAATCTATGCCTCTACACTTCATGATTGAATTATGACCCTAATAAGTGGCCTATACATCAATACAGTGCTGAATATAGGTGAACAAGATACTAGTGTGCATATAAATGTAAAAATTGAAGCAGAATACTCATTTTGAAAAATCAGATGAATTATTTTTTTCCCATGGGGAGATCCCAATGGAGGGTGTATAAGGTCCTTTAGGGGGGCGTATATGCGAGAAAATCCGGTAGCCTTCAAATCCTCTATTTATTCTTGTAATAACAATTTAATACAGATTAACAGAAATTTTCAAAAGTTTTTCAATTTTGTACTTTTGGGCATGCATAGTCTATAATTTTTATCTAAATGAACAACTTTGTATAAATGTGAAATTCAAAAAGTAGAAAACTAAAATAAAACGAGCCTGAAAATTGAGCCTGAAAAGGACGAGTCCCAAAGTTCCAAAGTTCAGTGTTGGTATTGGGTCACGTAGTATCTGTTGATAAATCCATATAAGGCTTGTAGGACCATGTAGGGAATCCTAAGAGAATCCCCTGATATCAAGTATATATTACTAAAGAATTATGGGAGCCATGGGCGTTTTTGGTTGTATTTAGAGCGAATTTGCAACCATCTGGTACACCTGTGCGTACCCAGCGTACCGGGCGCTACGCCTATGGGAGCTACTAACTTCTTCTGCCTGCCATTTCATTAAACATAATTTGAATATAAAATAAGTTTGCTGTTGAAATTTTGTTTTTAGGTAGTTATTTCAAGGTTGAGGCCCTTTAATTTTAAACCATTTATAGATTCAATGCATCCTGAATTAGTATACTTTTTGTTAACTTACACTTTGAACAAATGAAGCAAAACATTTCTGAAAGTCCATGTTTACCACAACCGTCTGTTGTGTTTAAGCCTAAAGTAAATATTAAAAGCCACAGCACATATGATGTATTTTTTCAAATATACATTTCAGGATTTGTTGATTTTAACATGACCAAAATGTTTATTTAGCATTCACCTCTTGAAGTCAAAAGTGAGTCTTGTTGTATGTAAGTTAACATACCTGGCACATTACATGCATTCATTCAAGTTATTATAGATCACCAGTCACAACCTTAAAACTTTTGTTGAACCCTACTTAATCATAATAATGCTCTCAATACAATCTAAAACATTACTATTATCAAGAAAAATCAAATGTGACTTTTATGAAGTATACATTGAACATGTAAACATAGTGTCATAAAATAAACAGATCCGTAACCTGATATCTGTCAGTGTTTGAACAATGTCTCCTTTTGGACAATGCTTGTCAATATGCCAAAAACAATACTTTTGATTCTATTTTCTTCATAAATAACCTGTTCAGTATGTCTCTATGACTCCGTGCTGTTTATGTGAAACATAACTGATGATCTTAATATTTCTACTGGCCTTTCACTTTTGCATCACAGTCTGAACTTGCATAAGCACATAAATATAATATCATGATATGTACAATCAGTGAAATAAAAATGAAGTATGATTATCCATATGACAGAACCATTCCACTGTTTCTACCACAACAAAATAATTACTGGAGAGGGTCCCATATTTCCTCTCCACTTTGATCTATCCAATATTATAAAAATTGTGGCCTTGTGTTTCAGTGCGCAGAGACCTGCTAGTTCACATTGATCATGGAATGGCACATAAACTACAGCAAGAAGAATGTAAGTATATTAACAAAAAGCCTTATTTTCTCTCAAAAATATTATAAAAGTACAGTAGAAACTGTTAACTGGAACACCTCTGTAAGTGGAACACCTTGCAAGTGGAACACTTGTGGTCCCAAGGGTATTCCACTTACACATGTTCTACTGTATTATTATGATTCCCAATCTCATAGTCTTCAACTTTTTTGTGTTGGTGTGTTCAGCATTCTGTGTCTGTAACAAATGGTTAGTAGTGACATTTTCACGTTAATGCCTTGTTTAAATCATTTGTGACATTTCCATTTTCATAGACAACCAACATTGTGGACTAAACAGGCAACATAATCGTACAATCAGAGAAGACATTCCAGTTGCCAAGGTGGTTCAAACAGAGGAAGAGAAGAGATTGCAGATGGAGCGAATGAGGCAGCTAGAGAGTTTGAGGAGACAGTATGTACTTTGCTACCACATATTTATGTATTTAACAGAGCCCTGGATGACAGTTTGAACATTTTCAATCCCAGAATCCTTTCAGTTAAGTTTTGATGGAAATTATTGTCCCGATTCTTTATGATGCTCTGCACATTCCAATATTATTGAATATCCAAGTAAAACGCATTGTGCGTCCCATTCTTAGTGGTATATAACATCACCCATAATAAAACTGCCCCATGCTCTTATAAGCCCCACCCTCCTTAGACTCATCATATTCAAAGAATGTTGAAATTATGAAGAAATAATCAGTACACCTAATATCTCTTAATTGGATTCATTATTTTTAGAACGAAAATGTTCAAACTGGTAACTGTATGCTTTCTAGAGTGTTTAGATGTTTTTACATAATGAATGATGTGTACATGTTGTAACATATACTTCACATATTATGTATTCTCATTCTCTGCTGATTATCCCTTAGACTCTTGAACTTGATGTAACACTTTGGATGCTAACCAACTGTGTCCCAGAACTAAAATATAACAGTTGAACATACATTTATTCAATTATGCAAAACCTTGAAATATCTCACACTGGCCTATTTTAGGAAGTAACCCAAATAGAAATAGATGAGAAAAAGTATAAATCCCAAAACGATAAGCTGAAAAGTTTCATTAGTCCAATATACAAATTGATGCCTGGAAAGCATCTTCAATGTAGGCTCTGGATTGTACAACTCAGTATTCCATTCATGAAACTCTATCTGGATTCTGGCTTTATTTGTTTATGGAGCATTACACAATCTCAGTGTTATAAACAGCAAAGCAAACACAAGGAGGGGGAGGGTCACATCTAATGCTCATCTCATATTTATCTTGATTCACATTGTTACAGTTGCTTCTGAACCATTAGACCCAGTGGAAATGACATATCAGATTTTTCATCTTCAGAATCTTTACAAAACAATTCATGAATTTTCAAATGAAAAAGGACTAGATAAAAACTAAAGAGCAATCACACATTGTCGTTAACACAAAGAAAAATCTTAATCAAGAAAAACATCTGCATAAAATTATTACATATTATTAATATAGAAAAAGTTATATCATATTACATCACAATATGTGGCCTACTGTTACACTGAATGAATGACTCACATCCCGATATTAACAATCTAAATATGTTTATGGTAACTTTTCTTGATAAGGTTGGTGGTTTGCTCATTAAATGTTATCACATTCAGACAGGCACTGAAGTGCTTCAAAAGCTCAGCCATTAGTTTTAGATCATGTCCCTAATTAGTCTCGCAGTTCATTTTACTTAAAGAAATGTAATTTGTCTTATGAGAGGAAAAGGTAAAAGATGAGGCCATCAGAAAAAATTAGGATAAAATATCATTTTGAACTTTGCGAAATAATATAAATAATACATATAAATTGTTCAATGAAAAGGAAAATATGTTTTTTTGCTAATTTGCCGTTTCGTTAATTTCCCTTTTCATTAGTATTATGCCTTGAGGTAGTGGATGAGATAAATCAAAGCTGAACAAAATATCCTTAAACCTTTTAATTTATCACTTTTATTCAATTCACACCTGGAATGCTCAGAGGATACTCAAGTAAATATTGGCAACTATACATTAACCCCCTCCCTTGGTATGGCCATGCATAATGTGCTTAGATGCTTAAGGGTTAAAAAATCAGTCATTTTAATTTAATCTTTATATTATATTAAATACAAAGATGACTTGATGAAATTAATTACAAAATCCATCGCAATATTAACTAGGCAGGCTTCTTTTACCCATCATGTGTATTTTCTAGGGAACGCAATGATGAAATAGTTGCTAAGCAGATACATGCACGCCTGCAACTTGAGAGACAAGAACAACAAAGAAGGTATAAGTCACCCACAATGCATTGCATGTCTTTATGTTGATAACGGAAAGGAGGATAAGGGAAAGAATAACATGGATCTAACCATAATTCAATTAACAGATTAATCAATACTGTAATTTTAAGACATAAAATGATCTTATCCAATAACGCAGATGCGAGTAGGTAGTTACCAGTTTCACCACTAGGTGGCTCGTTCGGGTCAGATAGCATGGCGGGTATAGTAGAAAGTTCCCTTTAACTTAAATTACATCTGTTTTAGTGGTTCAATTTTCATATTACCCATATGTATCTAATAGTTATGAAAATCAAAATATGTCCAGTAAATGAAAATGTTATCTGACCAATACAAGAAAAGATATTTCACTTTTTGTGATTTTGTAACATGGGCTCTATGGAGAATCAACCCGAACTAGAAGTCACACTTTCAAAAATAATTAAATCTTCAAACTTGATAAACAATTTTCGAAACAATATTTCTAGATGTACTTTTACATGTAGATTCCAAATATGATATCAGTTTGACTGAATTTTGAATATTTAATGGCGTAAATCAAGATTTTTTCTACTCGCATCTAGTCTATTGATAAAATTGTTTTCTTACTACCTTTTTTGCTCCAATCCCTATTTCATACCTTACTATCTTGCTTTCTATAAGGGATCCCACTATAGTGTGTGTATATTGTTGTCTCTTTGTGTTTATATCTATATTTAGAAGAATACATAAATAGATTTTGGTTTGTTGCTTTGAATTGTTGTTGTATCTTGTTATGTGTAAACCCGCTATTTATGTTGTTGATTGACCTGTCTTGTGTTTAGAGCCTTGGAGGATGAAGATGTCGCCCGTCATGTTATGACTGATATGGTTCTCTCCGAGCAGGAACGAGTCCGAAAGTATGTTTCTTTATTTTTTGATTACTCTTTTTTCAAGGGAACAGTTCAAATGTTGAATTACTAAATATTAGACCTAAACCTCCCTCAGCTTAAAGAACTCATTAGGCCCAGAATATTTCATTTTGAAGAAGATGGAGTTGGAGTAAGAAAAGTAATTGTAGTTGTTATTTATGACATCACAAATTACTATTACAAATATGTAAATTGAGATCTGTTTTATCAAATTATCACCTCCCACTTTTTATGAAGCAGTTTAATTTTTTATTAAGATAAAAATTTCTGAGAAAATGATATGAAATTGGACTGTTCCTTCAATGAACACTTTTATGAGTACTCTGCATGGATCTTAAAGTAGATGTCATTTAGATCAATAGAAAATCAATGTAATGAAACATGAGATTAGTGTCTGAATTTCATTTTTGAAAATTCCAAAAAGAAATTTTGAGTAAATCACGTAGGTTGACTTGACACTGGTGTTTGGTTTGCCTCAGTTTGGTTTTGCTTGGTTTCAATTTGATTTATTAAATGTTTCTCTGTGCTATTTGTGTGCAAAACTTAACAGCCATGCAGTTTCAGAGAAAATGTTGAACGACAGATGGAACTCTAAGCTTTCAAGTTTTTATAATTAAATTTCCATAGTTATATACTTTTTGTAGTGTTTCCAATTTTAATTTGTAATTTTCCTTATAAGATTTTTATTTTTATCCAAAGTTTGACGGAATTTTCAAATTTGATTTCTTTCAGGAAAATTCAAAAATGTGTGACAGGAAGTATAAACTGTACTCTATGTTTACAGTGGTGGCTCTATAAAATTAAGGGACCGATATACAACATTACATCAAGACATGCAAGTGCTAATCTCTTAATAATATAAATCAGAAAGTATAAACAGGAGACATATGTTTACAGGGCCCATGAAGATGAGATAGTTGCTAGACAGGTGATGGCAGAACTGATGCTGGAGGAACAACAGAAATCTGATTCCACAGAGACAGAAGACCAGGTTAGTCATATAGTTATTCAATGAGGACCAAATCAAAGTTTAACATCATGAGGGATGGGACAGAAAAAAACATATAGTTATTCAATGAGGACCAAATCAAAGTTTAACATCATGAGGGATGGGACAGAAAAAAACATATAGTTATTCAATGAGGACCAAATCAAAGTTTAACATCATGAGGGATGGAACAGAAAAAACATATAGTTATTCAATGAGGACCAAATCAAAGTTTAACATCATGAGGTTTGGGTTAGAAAAAAACATATAGTTATTCAATGACGACCGAATCAAAGTTTAACATCATGAGGGATGGGTTAGAAAAAAACATATAGTTATTCAATGAGGGCCAAATTAAAGTTTAACATCATGAGGGATGGGACAGAAAAAAACATATAGTTATTCAATGAGGACCAAATCAAAGTTTAAAATCATGAGGGATGGAACAAAAAAAAACAGAACAAAAAACTTCAAAAATGAATGGTATTATATAGGCCTAGTATGAAACATGAATGGAACCTAATTTACTTCAGATAGTAGAACAATCATTATGATGCTAACATTGACAACTTGTAAATGTTATTGTTGCAAGTAGTTTCAGGCAACGCCCCATCCCTATCAATGTATCTCATAAATAGCAGTAAAATACTAAAATTATTTTATTTAAGATGTTTATTTTTTCAATTTGTTGAAAATTTTTACATTATCAATAAGTCTTTGATTAATTTGATATCATTATCCCAAATTCTAATGTACATGTAGGTGCATATAGATTCTAATTTAGATGCTCTGAAACTTATCGTTACTTCTCACATATTTACAGAAAATAGCCATGGAATTACAACAAAAGGAGAAAGCAAAATATGAGCGACATCTACAAAGACGACGTGAACGTGAGTTAGCAAAAGAACGTCAAAGACTTGAGAGGGAGCTGGAGCAAACGGCAGCTCAGCTTTCACCAGGTGAAAAAATATTTTTGTTTTTTAATATAATATTATAAACATATAGTAATCATCCTTCTTATCCTTGCAATCCTCTCCTTGTAAGGAAAAGAAACATACTATAAGTTAAACTCAGGGTGATATGAATGTGTATGAAATTTCAAGTTGAGAACTTTGGATGCACATATTTTGCAAAAGCATTGTGAAATTTAGTAAAGATTAGCTTGTGTTTAAGATTAGTAAATTAAACCATGGGATACAATTTATGACCTGTAAGTCTTACCCTAACGCTTATTTACTCTAGGTATTGGAGCAGCTGGTACCAGAGAGAGGATAAGTCCTGAAAGGTAAAGAATTTAGTTTTTACTTTAGTTGGTTATTATTATTATTATTAATGTAATGTTTGCAATAATAGTGAATGATAGTAAAAAGGGTTGTCCAGGATTCTCAGGACTTTTACAAGAAATACATTAATTTATTGAAAATTGATGCACCCATGACTAATACATATGTGATGTGCAAGAATTAAGTACCTTACTAAGGATTAAGATAGATGTAGATGCCAATTGTACTTTATAGTTTTTACACTTAACCTATGTATTGTTTGACTTCTAGAGCCCTGCGGAATGATGGGAAGATTGAAGATAGGGGTGATTTCTCAGACTTTTATGTTCAACCCTCTACTGAGATGACTGAAGAAGAACAACATGAACTACAGCGTCACCAGGATGAGGTGAGAGATTTGAAGGATCGTCTATCTTATCTATGGATCTCATTATTCCATTTGAAAGTGTTGTGTCTATGAAACTTTTTGTTAAAAAAGAAATAAAGTACAGTGCGATCTCCTTCACGAAAGCAAATTGCGTTTGAAATTTTTGATATACAATTCTGCACCAATTTGAAAACCCATTTGCACCCACTTGCATATGTGAATTTAAATAAATGATAGTTTAACTGATTTTACACAAACAAAACATCTGTAGGAGCGACCTGGTGTCTGAAATATTAATATGTACTTATGCACATTTATTCATTTTCCAGGAGCTAGCTAGGCTGCTACAGGAACAGGAACATAAGGTAAGACCCAATGTACTGCTGCAGTAGAATGTACAGTAGACCTATTAACTTTTTCTAACTATAAGGCATGTCTCACATGTTTTGCACTAAATTCTACGAATAATCACTTTGTTTATTGTTGATTGATAGTAAAAGCCCATTTTTGGCAGAATGGAAATCTTTTTTTACTGTACTGTTTTTTTTAAATTTGCACTTCCATAAAATCAGTTTCATCAATAAGAGTGAGTTCAGGGTGAGGGAAATGGAAGAGAATGAAACATTGAATTCAATCAATATATCTGAATATCTGGTTTTGTTGAACGAACATGTACATGAAAGTGCCACTAATCAAACAATCGCGAACAATTTTAGAAGATTAACCACAGATGAAAATCTGACATCATCTTCACAGCACGTTGATATTCTTGCATGCAATATTCTTGCATGCTTACACTTGACTCTTAGTTACTCTGTTTTATTCTTACAGAGAGGGGCAAGTGCAACAAAAGACACACAGAAAGTGATTGAACAGCAAGATGCAGAATTAGCAAGAATTATACAAGAGCAAGAAAAACTGAAGGCGAGAAAAATACGGGAAAAATACAAACAGCGTCAAATGTCTTTACAACAAAAACAGGAACAGGTAGGAGAATCTTTTAGAGATTTATTTATTACACCTACATATTTATTTAACATGCATTACAGTGCATTACTTACTGTATAAATGAAAATTACATCCATTTTGCTTGTACATGTATTTGATAAAGTGTAACATTGACAAAAAGTTTTATTCTAAAAAATTTTCTTTAAAAGTTATATGAACCATTTTGTTTCATTACTCAACCACAAGAACTGGTGATGTGATTGTATTACTATATTTATAACCACAGATCAGCTGTCAACTTCAGTATTAGTGTTTGGTATCTGTTTTTAATTGTAATTCTTTTGAAACCATTTGCACCTACCAGGTTGTGACAGTTTATTGCAAGCTTATTTACCTTCATCTCATCTTCATTTCACCCTTTTCAACTTTATTGACTATATTGTGCGATGACATAAAACAAACCATCTTGACCATCTAAATGATTTACTTCCCCAGACTACAGAGGGTCCTGAAAGGTCACGAAGTTTACATGATAGGCCAAGGCCAAGAGGTCATGACCTTGTTGCTCAAGAGGTCATCGAAGCAAGTGGGGAAAGACACTCAAATAGCTCCTTGGAAAGACCATCGCATGGATCGATTGAGAGATCTGAAAGACCTTCATTTGGCTCAAATGAGAGAAGGCATAGATCTGATAGAAATACAAATAAGTAAGTACCACTTTATTGTCACAAAAATTTGTGTTTAAATCCTAAATGTTAGTATCTTTTATTGACTGATATTCATATACATGTTCTTATTCATATACATAAATCAACATAACATTATAATGCCAGTTGTAATGCCGTAATTCTCCAAATATTTTATTAGAAGACAGTTTAGTCAAAAATATCTTTAAAATTACCTCCTGTGTTATATTTCAGTAGTGTAGATCAGGACTCACCCAGACGATTTCAGGCTGAACCACTCTCCAGCCCCAGCCATAGTAGTAATGGCACTCAGCTTTACAGGTATGATTATAAATCTTTCCGAACCTTTTTGGAACAAAATAGCATATAGAACATTTTCTTAGACCTCTCAATATTATAGTTATACAAAGGAAAGTTTGGTTCATTTAACAAAAAGTATTCAAAAAATCAAAACAAAACCACCAAAAATAGATATATTAAAGTGTCAACCTTTTCATTAACAAGATACTTTTTTAAATGAACCATGCAAACCTTCCTTTGTACAATTACAATATTGAGAGACATAAACACATTGTGTATATATCATTTTGTTCCAATGAGGTTGGGATAGATGCCAAGAACAACAGAAGTGTATGATGTGTTTTCTAAAACAATATAGAGAAAAGGAGATATATGTTTTTCAAATTAAATTGTTACCATTGACGATGTGTAAAATTTCCAGAATTTTTTGATAACTGGTTTAAGAGAAACATGTGTTCAATTCAGTTCGCCATACTGATATCAATCCTTTCATATAGTATAGAGGGATTCTTTGATATGGGATTCATCCACAAATTGTTGGAATTTTCTCTGCCTTTGTACTCATGAAAGAAAAATCCCTTTCATTTCTTCATCATACCCTCTGTGCATGCATCTAACAATTTCATTGGTCCATTTGAAAGAGGAAGCCTCTATGCCTTGTTAATTTATTATGTCACCAACACAAGTGTTGACATATTGTAATTATAGTCTCCAACTTTTTTGTGCCAGGAGTTGGTGTTAGACAGTTAATGTTCAGCATTCGGCATCTTTAACAAATGGCATTTTGCGTGTTAATGCCTTATAAATTAATACATTTGCTGACATCCCTGAAAATGTAATAAATCAATGGTTTCTTTTCTTCAGGAGAGAAGAGAGTCATTCACCAGAGGTCACTACTGGAGCTTCATCCGGCCCATTCAACATTGCTGAGGTCATTGATCCAACTTTTAGGTATATTTGAACTATATTTAATTTGTATTAGTGTTACTCAAAAGAACTTAAAATACAATATGGTATTTGCCCAATAAATCTAAATATTAAAAAGAATCTATGTTTTGTAAAAAATCTATATTCACATATACAGCATTGAATTTACCTTAATAAATTGTACAACTTCAATCTGTAAATTAGGCCATCTATTTGATGGTCCATGTGCAGTAGTCAAGGTACAAATGTATGGTAAGACAGTAATATGTATTAATCTGAATTGAAATTAGAATATAAATCTCAGTTAAACATGTCTAGAGTCTAGACAGTAGACGCTGATTAGATAATATCTTGCTGGATTAAGTACAATCTTACCCATGGTCTTCTTCGTTCACCCCGCTCCCGTCGATGAACGCAGTGAAGACTGAGCATGCGAAGATGACCATGGTGAAAATGACAGGAATATATTTTCAGGAGAAATAAAAATCCTGATACCAGAGTCCCCTATGTTGAGTCCAGTGAACCTGAGCCTTTAGAGGTGCAGACTTGGGATCACCACCCTGTTTCTTCAAACCAAAGTAACGAAGGTAAAAACAACAGTATTTCTTCATTGCTTTGCTTTGAGTTCATATGTACCCTTTATTCCATTCTTTTGTGCACACTGTATTTGATTTTGTAGTTTGTATCTTATTATGAATCAAAACACATGCAAATAACATAAAAAAATATTTTGGTATTTAATCTTTAATTTTTATGTTGTATTATTTAATTTTTTACTAATATCACATGTGTAGTTTATATCAATGTTGTTTGTAGTCAGTGTTCACACGTACCTAACACTTGTGTTTTTAATGTTTTAATCAGAAGATAGAGGGCAGAACACATGGAATCCTGCTTACAGAGATTATGCACAGCAACCAGGTGAATAATAAATGCATGTTCATTTGTACAAGTGTTTAGTTATACAAGTGTACATTACAAATGTATATTTATATAACAAGTGTTCACTTTTACAAGTGTTCATAAATACAAGTGTTCATTTGTTTACTTATAAAAGCATTCATTTATACACATGTTCAATTATATAAGTGTTCATTTAAACACAAGTATACAGGGTGTCAAATAATTATGTTCTCCCCTCAACTGTAACATTCACAAAATGTTGCATACCTTTTTTTGTCTGAATGATATTTGAATTGTTCTTTAGCAACTTAAAACTCGGCTCCGTTGAGCAACTCAACAAGATGTTCCAGACGACTAGCTCAACTTTGTGCATTTTTATGTACAAACGTTCATCCTCTTGAAATCAAGGGGGAGAACATATTAGCGTTCATTTATACACATATTCATTGATACAAAGTGCTCCTGCATTGGTGAAAAGTCTATAAAATGGTGAAATGATAAATTTTGAAAGGCAGAAATGGAAACATTCTTGCAATTAGTATTTTCATTCATGAAAAAGATGATATTATGAAGATGAATGGGCTTAAAAGGTCAAAAGCAAGCTTTTCCACATAAAAACATTTTTAGTGAACCTTTTTTCCGAAAAAAAACTTAAGGAACATATAATTCACTTTCTGCATGAGTGATATTTTAAGCTTTCATATTTTTACAGAAATGAAGGTTTATTGATTTTGTTTGTTGCAAATTGAAAATATTTTGGGGAAATATTGGATCAGAATTACAGGAAATGGCCCATTAATGATTATTTGTAAAATAAGTCTTGAGTCGACCCCTTTGTCTTTATTACAAGGAAAGGAAGTACTGGATGTAACATTAAAGTAATAAATTGGGAATAGTCTTGTGCACCTTTATTGCTTATTGCTTAATACTTAACGGTTATCATCAAGTTTATTGCAATTGACATTTGAGATCTCTGTTTGTTCTTAATCTCTGTTTCCTTTGTTTACATGTAGTAGGCTGCACAGAAGTAGTGTGTTTTCTGTACAACCTTTATTGAAATACTCTTAACATGAAATACTTATCAACTTGTGTCTCAAAAAGAACTGAAAATACATTCTCAATAATCTATCAGTAATTTAATGAGAGGTGCTTGAGGCGTATCCATAAACATATACATATATTTATTTTCCTGGTTCATCTTACTTCTTTATAGAATTTCATGGATGAGTATTGAGGATGAATTTAAAATATTTTTTGTCTACTTAATATAATTTCCAAATATGCATTCAGATTTGTTGTAGCTCTTCATTTGTCAACTTATAGGAGTAAGTTAGATAGGAGTATGTTACTTCAGTCTGGGGTACTATTTTATGATTACTAAGTAGATTGCCATTGATAAGTTATGATATTTGACATCCACTATTAAAATTCTTATCAAAGCGTGTATGCTCTTCAGTTGATCCACTATATTACTTATTTACTTTAGAGATAATATTCAACAAATAAACTATCTATTAAATTCCTAAAGATAAAAATTGAAAATGAACTTTTGTTTCTTATTGCATCTATTTTGTTTCTCATTGTATCTATTTTGTTTCTCATTGTATCTATTTTGTTTCTCATTGTATCTATACTTTATACTACAGAATATATATATTCTTACATTTGGGAAGGGGGTGAAAGTCTGTTATATTCTGCTAGTCTGACTTTTAAAAGAAAATAAGTTTAAGATTGAGAAAGGGTTCTATATCCAAAATGTTGTTTTTAATGACAAGGTGTCATACTTTTTGCATAACCTCCTAACAACAAATTAGTTACCAGAATTCAGATCTAATCTTACTAATTTTTGCCAATTTATCTAATTTACACATTTTTGTATCAAAAAGATTCATGACACATGATATAATACAGTAGTTCTATATATGGAACATTTTTGATATATTCTATTTACATTTATTAATTAAATATTAAATTGTTTACATCCATAAGTGTTGGTATATTGCTAGATGATTGATAGAAAGGGAAACTTATCTTTATGTAAATATAGTGCAAAAGGAATGTATGATGATATGTCTTACTGTTTTTAGTACACAAGATAGACAGTTCAGACAATAAGGTATTCCGACCATGTAAAATATTCAAGGAGTTTTGCATTAAAGTCAAGCACAGACTCAAACTCAGCTTGTATTCGCGAATGCAAATGACGGATGTCGGCTGCCGATTAACCTAATTATTTATGACCAACTCATTTGAATATGAAAGGAAAAGTGGCAGGGAGGCCTACTATTCATATTTAAATGAGTTGCCCATAAAATAGTTGGTCAATCCGGTAGCCGATAGCCGAAGGTTGCATTCACAAATACAGGCTCAGACTGCACATCAAATTGTGTTATCCAAGATACACATGGTGTTTTTGATATGTTATTGATTGTAAAGCCCTTGACCCATTTCACATTGTATTTTACTATATTGAGATAAAGTTCATAGGTTGTCATGAATGTTGTTTTTCTCATAAGGCCGCTGTTTTTGTATGTGTTCGTTTCATGTCTCGATCGATCGCTTAATTGTATACTCAATCCATTTCTTGCTGATTTTGGCATTAATTAGTGAGGATTTATTCAAGGATTTATATTTCTAAATGACCCCATTTACATGTGATTTCATTTCCAGTAAATGACCCTCCACACATTACAAGTTATGATGATACTCCTGAAGAGGAGCGACCAGATTCTCCTGTTCTGATGCCTGTTGCCGGACAACGAAGGACCCCTCCTGATAAGAGTAAACGAAACAGCGGAAGTGGAAAAAAGACCCCTGGAAATTCAAAACGCAGTAGCTGCAAACAACAGTGATTTTTGATGTTGTTGACAGTTCAGGAAATCCACTATGACTGAATTATGGTTGAACTTACTGTGGAAAAATCATGTTCTTAGTATATAAATGTGGTGGAAGGCTTAACAAAGTTAGTTGCACTGTATCAAAGGTCACTCAAATTATTTTGGAGAAGATTGCCAAGTTCTTGATGAATACATATAGATTGTGTCAGCTCATGTGAAACATTGTTATTATTTGAATGCCCTACCTGGCACCTGGCTTGCAATAGAAAATGCTATGGTGTCAAAGATGTCTTGAGGATCAAGCAACATATACCAGTATTAATGGAGTATAGGAAATACTTCAGAATGGAGAAGTTACAATTGTAGGTATGAGATCAAAACAACGATATTAATAAGTTCATAGCTATGTGAGAAAATTGACTTCAATGTCATATACCAAATCTCATAAAGTCTTGGCTATGGGTGAATACAGAATTTAGACTAAAATTGGACTGAATAAGGGATTTTGTGAATACAGGATTGAACATGGAATTTTGTGAATACAGGATTAAATATGGGATTTTCAAATATCACTTTTATTTTCTGAGAAAGTTTTATTCATTCAAAAAATCCATCCTCCTCTACCGTGTAATAACCTATGTTATATTGTATGTTGTAAACAATGATTTTTTCACACCTGTTAGACATTTGTAATAAAAGCAATAATAATGGTTTCATTAGCTGATAAATGATGTATTAACACTTGCTGATTCTGTCGTAACATTTCTCATTATTTGATAATAAAAATATGACAGTTAAAGATAAAGGTAATCAGAACTAAAGATGAGGTAAGGTGAGAACCTAAAAACAGAATTTTCAGAAAGAATGTATTTCTCAGTTTTCTTATTAAAATACTTTGAAAATTATTTAAATCTCTGGAAACGGAAATACCTGAGAATGTTTTATAAAACCTACAAGGGTAGGGATTTGTTCTGAAATTTATTTATGGACATCTTTGTCATTTGTAGTCTAGATGATAGTACTATGTAATAATACACACAGTAGTTCTCATTTTAAGAAATCTCCTGTGTATTTGTTTGCTTTGTATTATTGTGTGCATTACTTACCTTATAGCATGTGTATTATCTGAATAATTTGTATGTTGCTACCCTCCTACGGTGCTTCTTAGTATATATCTACTAATACATAAATTTCAAATTGGAGGAGTATAAAAATTGTCTTGATGATGTTAAAGTAAACGAAACTACTGTAAACCATGATAAATTAATACAGGTACAAATGTTTTCATTTTAAGTGATTATATCAAATGAGACTCATACAGTTTGTACTTGGAGATTTTTGGAACATATCCCATAACGTTATGCCGTTAATATGTATAGTCTTAGCATGTTGAAATGTCTGTAACAGTACCTTGTCCCAACCATAACCATATATAATGTAACTTCAATCAATACTTAGTGAAATCTAAAATAACAGTTTTTATATGAAAATGTATATGGGAAAATATATAAATGTTGATAATTACATGTAGTGTCTATAAGACTGTCATTGTGATTTATAGTATGTGAAATTGCTGCATACATGGCGGATGAAGGAAAAAATATATTTTGATGCAGAATGTTTAAAGCTAGAATCAGATGTATTGTACAGGAGCAATGAAAAATGTAAATACAGTGAAACCTGTGAAGTGAAACACCTCTAGAAGTGGAACACCTCTGTAAGTGATACACTTTCCCATGACTAAATGTTACTCTATAAGTGGAACACCTCGCAAGTGGAATACTCTTTAGAGGAACCAAAAGTGTTCCACTTAGACAGGTTTTACTGTATATGTACTCATATTTTTATTTCTATGAGGAGAAAGAATTGATGGCTTCCCTTGTATTGAATGGGATATCATTTAAGTTTTCTTGAAAATGACAATGAATGGTATAAGCACATCGGATTATAAAATCGAGGCAGTACTTGAAAGTAGCTTATCTGATTCTCCCTTTATACAAATAGAAGAGTTGGAAAAAAACACAAATGTGCATTTGCACTTTATGTAAATGAAGGAATTCAATCTGAAGTTGTCAGATTTTATCCATAAAACAAATTGCCCTTCATGCCTATATGTAACTGAAAAGCTATAATTTTTCATGAACCCAGGTACCACATGGTTGAATGCAGCCTATTAGAATTCATGATATAACTCACTGTCAGTGGTATTGAATGAGATATTCCCCCAGGTCACCCAGCTCTCATTGATGGAAAAATCAATGATTTAAATTAAATTCATTTTTATCATTGATGCATGAGTTGCTTTTGACTAGCTTCTCGATTGACATGTACATAAATCAAGAAAATGTAAAATTCATGAATTCTAATTTATTGCATTTACGTACATATCATCAACTTGTTTGTATTATATTGTGCAGACATTTTATGAGTGATTATATATCATTCTATTCTATAAAACTGCTTTTTAATTACATTTATAGTATGTATACAATAAGTTTATATATATGGAATAGCAATATTTTACAAATAATCTCAATGTAAGGGCAAGTGAATTCCATTCTTATTTCTTATTCAGGTTAAAACTTAACCCATTATTGGGCATATGCATGTCATATGTGTGTTTTCTATTTTCATTATTTTTACAATTTACGATACACATTGTATGCTTTTACCTCTTTACCCGATAATTTAATTCCAATGGCCTTAAGGACTGCCAATAGATGGCGAAAATTTCAGTGGGTTTAATTGTGTACTTTAACATGTAAAAATGCTTCAAAAATCTCCTAAATTAAATTTCAATGAAAATATCCAAAACTTCATGATATTGAAACTTAGAACATGTAAGAAAATATTTCTGAAGAGAAAATGTGATTCTAGTATTAATTTGATTGATTAAATATATTTTTAAGACAGCAATAATTACACATAAACCAATGGGACAGGTGTGAGGAATATCCCATTAGAGAAAATTAGTAAACTGCCATCTAAATGAGTCCTGGCTCATATTGGTGGAAGAAAAAATATTTTGCACACAAACTAGAAAACCCAATAATTGAGGATGAAGAGATTTACCAGTACATGTCATGTTATTAGCTATTTCCTATTTCTTATTCCTTTGATATATTAATGCTCTTGGTCACTGGACTATCTAGCTTCTATTCCCTAGAAATATATTTATATATCGGTTTATTCAACTGAACTGGATTTTATCAGGTTTACGAGTATTAATTGCTGTTTGATTTTCACTCATTAATTTTCTGGTTATTTTGTTTTGACAAGAAAGAAGATGACTATTTTTACATGTTTTATTGGTTCATAATTGCTTCATTTGAATGGAAGCATAAAGACTCTTACTTGTTGCTTGGCATTATGAATGAGTCCATTGAGAGCAATTTCCATCTGGAGTGGTCTCTGGGATAAAGGAGTAATTGCTTTATAGGCAATAAACTCATTTATTATTAATTAATATTTGTATGGAAGACTAACTCAATTATATTCTGAATTGTATTGCATAACTCAATTATATCCTATATGACAGTCTGGTGTACAGTTCTTATATCGATCCTGGAAAGTTTCTCATATTCAAGGTCAGTTATGAGAGCATGCCGTTTACCCAAATATGGTTGGAGGGGTCCCTCAAGTTCATTCATTTTGACAAATTTGATTTAAGTTTGGAGAAATACCATTGTCAAAAGATCATATTTGGAACAGTTTTATATTTAAGTACAAGTATAAAGTAATTAACTTGACTTTTGTGATTGATTTCTCTCATTTTCATTTGATTAAACCAAGATAGTTCATGTGTGTGTTTAGATGTGTTTTTTAAATACATGTACGGTAAAACCTGTAAACGAACACCTGTAAATGAAACACCTCTGAATGTTGAACAATTTTCAGAGTATCATATGCCTTGATTGATTTAATGTTAAATGAACCTTAATTTATAAGTGGAAGACCTCACAGGTAGAATACTTTTAGAGGCACTGAAGGTGTTCCACTTATCCATGTTGTTTTACTGTTCATATTTGACAATGAGAGCACACTGTACCTCTCGTTTCAGACTACTGTAAGCTAAGTTGGTACACACATCTGATCTGAATAATGTTTACCATACCTGCTACCATAGAACAGCATTCATATAGTTATATATGTATTTTATATTTATTTTTTGTTTTGAAACTGATATTATGTAAATAGGACCTCACATTTTCAAGCTGATTCCATGTAGAGATACTGGGCAGAATTATTATTTTTTATTTCGTATTTGAAGTCTGCTCTGTATAATGCTGTATTGACTCAAGTAGTCCTGAGTTATTGTGAAACATGTATGAATTCCCATGCGTATTAGGGCTTTTTGTATAAAATCAATTTTTTGTATTATTACAATATTGACGAATACTGATACAAATAAAATGACTATTTAATGACTCATGCTTTTATGTTTTGACATTTTAAGGTTGATGTACCTGTGATGTTCTGCTTGTACGTACATCATGTTCTTACAGCCCCGGAACAGCCCCTAGATATTTTCCAAATTGAAGTTGTCCTCAATTTGGATCCGTATGGGTCTAGATATAGGACATCCTTTTTCTTATACTTAAATGATAAAGTCAGCTTATCGTAAATATTCGAAGGATCTTCAGGTAATAAAGTCATAACTGTTAGACTTTTATAATGTGAATAACATAAAATGACAAAAGCAAAATTTATTGTAAAATTGTGACAATTTTTTCAAAACAACTCTGATCTCTGTTCCTCATGTTCTCTGGTCAGTAACCTTCACATCTAAGATGGTGGATGGTTAGTGTTGATGTCGGTATTTTTTGTTTTCATCGAAATAAAACTTTTTATAGTTGACTTAATGCTTTGATATTTGAACTATTTATATATCAGGCTTATATGACATGGAAACATAACTTTTACACTTTACAGTACATGACAGAGCATGATTATTTGTTCATATACCATGCGTAGGCACCATGGAGATTGGCTCTTCATTGTTCAATTCCATTGAGATTGGCTCTTCAATTTTTGATCAAATTAGGCATTTTCCTGAGATAGTAATTGAGCTAACCCTAAACTGGTCTAAAAAATTTGCTTATGAATAAAGATAAATGAATAAAGAATAAATAATTTTATGAATAAAGTTTTATAACTTGATGATATCTTTATGGGACTATAGTATCCCATTGTGGGATTTGCAGTCTCTACTATTCGTTGGAACTTGACATAGTTTACGATAAAGAGAGACTGATAAATCAAGATGATATTATTCTGTGATATATAATTGTAAAGTACAAGTGTGAACCTAACAAGTTTGTTTGCTAAACTACCTTGGCCTTATGTAGATATAAGTCACGTGACATTGTGCGTAGTTAAGAAAACCAAAAGCAAACTAAAATAAACCAATTACTAAGATATATCATCTCTAAATTTGAATTCTGAAATTAACTGTTTTCACTAGTACATAATGAAAGCTAAAAATACATGGAATTTTACTAACTAAGAAATGCAATATTTAATCGAAGTTTTGTGACACCAGAACTTGACTAAGATCATCACCATTCGTAACTCGTTAATTGAATCTGCTTTTGAGTCACACACAGTTACAACTTGTACAACAGATCGTTCACAACTATGAGTAGAGAGATTGACTGAGAGCCAACAAAATCTACAGCAATTTTACAATTAAACGGACTTATACAATGTAAAACAGAATATGGCTACAAAAGTCATATATTTCTCCATTGGAGGATGCGAAGAACAAGCGGAATTCCGAAGTGATGACTCCAGCGATGACGTGAGAGGTAAGTAAAAATATGTTATGATTTTTCTTTTCAGAATTTGACATGTTGAAGATTTTTTTCTGTACTTTAAAGTGTAAAAGTTATCAGTGAATTATTAGTTGTTTACAAACTGTCTGGTATTTTTACACAGAACATTGCTTTGGGTGCTTGGTAAGATGTTGTTTATCAGAATAGAAATGGTGTTGGCCCAGTTTTACTTTCGACTTCTAATGTGTTGAATGCTCTGAATTTGTGAATGCGTCCCTGTCAGTTTTTACAGCGCCATGCCAAATTGTAAAGGAAAATGTTTTTTTGTCGTACAAAGTGGGTGTATTTATGGGTACATATAATATTATCTTCAGGTCACAGATTTCTTCTTCTTGATCATTTTAAGTGTCTGTGTGACACTATTGGCACTATAATGCTGCCATTGGACACTGGTTACTTAGTAATTCACTATGGTACTATATCTCACTTGTACTTTTCACTTATACTTTACTAAGTTGGAGAAAGAGCGCTGAGATTCACCATTTTCAAATACCTCATAATTTTCATTTGAAGATAAAAAGTATAATAAAAAGCTGCAATGTCGTATACATGTAGGGAAAGAGACCAAGAACAATCATGGGCGATTATGTCACCTCCCTGGAACAACATGGCGATCTTGAATTTAGGAATCACTCCATATCATTAAGGGAGTGAGTACCCAATAAGAAATCATGGATCAATGGATTAAACACTACAATAATACAGAACATTAAAGCATTTTCTTAAAAATAAGACTTCAATATAGTTAATCAATTTGTAAGACACTCCCCTGTTCCTTAAAAGCATCCATTTGTGTTATTCAAATCAGGGTCTTTGGGGACGTTAACAGACAGAACAATATTAAAAACACATAAAATCTATTAACTTCAGAACAGGGAAAGAAAGCAATTTGGCACAAGGGGTTATGTGTTTTTAAAGCAGCAATAAAAAAAAGTAATATACATTAAGAGAGGTTTCCCTTTCATTACTTTGATTTTGCTTTTTAAAGGAACTTCATCTATACTTTGTACTTGAGATAATCAATTCATCTAGCCTTTACTAATCATACATCTGAAATTGTTGCCATGGTCTGGCTTATCCTCCAGACATCATCTACTACATTCTATCCTTCTTGGAAGAACAATGTATCAGTTCAGGAGGCTCGTGTTCAGAGGATGGGTCTGTCTTCATGAGCAGCTGACTGTAAAACTCCCATGAAAAGCCATGAAAGCTATATATTCGTTTGGGACCATTGGGATCAGCATCAAAACTGTATATTTATTTGACGCTGTCAGAGGGTAATAATTGCCACTCTGGGCCTTTGTGCCACAGGGTGAAAGAAAGGTAAACAAACATACAATGTCATGTAAACTATAAGTAAAGGTTATCATTTCAAGAACTTTTTGTCCATTAAATGTGATAAACAAAAACTACTAATCAGTTTTTCTTCAGAGTTGTTGCTATAATAAAGAGATTAGCTATAATTATTTGCTAAGATACATGTGTTTTATTTTACCATTAATTTGTTTTTACTATTTTAAAGTGTAAAAATATTTCTGTAGCATTTGGATTTCTTAGCTTATAACAATATGACTGAATAATAGTAAGATTAACAAAAGGCCTAGAGAGCACCCATTTGGAATTAACAACCTTCCTCAAGTGAGTTTTCTTCTTCGGCAAAATTGTTCTTTAATTGACTCCTATATTTTTAAAAAACAGATAAAATAAATCCAAAATGATAAAAAAAATTTGTTGAAAAATCTATGAAAAAATCAAGTACAGGGTGACCCATAAATAGGACCCCTCTAATTTCGAAATTTCTTAATCATGTTGGAATCTTAATCATGTTGAAATTTTTGAAAGTCATATGTTAAATCTAAGTTCTCCTATGCGAACAGTGATACTCCTATATCACTCACAGTTTGCTCCTTTAAACACTCTATCTACATTAAAAAGTTGAGAAGTCTACTGCAACTGAAAAAGTAATTACAAAAATTAGAGAGTAACAATTATTTTGGTCATCCTTTATCTTGAGTGACAACAAACAATTTTTTCAGCAGAAATGATTTCCCTTTACTGAAATGTTTTTAAGTCTAAATACAGAAGATAACTATCCTGACAAATATTGTTCAACAATGAGCATGCACTCACCCTGATGAAGAAGGGTGCTGGGTTCAGTCCCCACGTAGGGACTTTTTCATATCAGCATTTAGTGCAGGATTTCATTCTGTGTTCTCATTAACCTTTAATACATTATGTAGAATTGAGAAATCATCTTTGCATCATTGGAAAAGATCTGGTAAGATATCTGGTGCGAATTTAGATCATTCATTGAGTAAATATTCAGGTCATGTCCACCCACATGGGGTTTTCTTTATAGATTTTTTCTGCAACTGACGTCATAACATGTTATATATCGTTGAAAATACATTAAGGGTTTGATTGAAGAAATCTATTATATCCTGGCAGAGTTAAGATCAATGAATTCTACATATGAGTGTGGTAATTCCTCCGTCACTAGCCGTTCAAAAGAATTTTGGATGAATAAATACACATTTATCAAAGAAAAACTTCTTGAATTTCTTCATTAGACTGTAACTTTACCTAATCTCCCATGATTATGATATGATAATATTCCATCTTTGATCATTTAATTAATGTCATCTATCAAGGTATAAAAACATAAACTTGCTTGAAAGCATTTTTAGCTCATTAATTAGAATAGCTGTTTTTCTAATATTTTTTCTTTTTAAGTAGCTGATATCCAAACTAAAGATATATTGGTGAATAGAGCAAGCCACAAATATCCCCAAATACCATTTACAAAGATAAAGAGGGAGGACATAGAAGTTAGTATTTCATATCCCATGTTTCTTTTTTCATCCTTCATATTTGTCAGGGACTCCATATTTATTTCCCACATATATATGTTGCCACTCTTGCAACAGTGCATAGAGATCCACAACTTAAAGTGGGTATATAATGTTGAATTGTTGATGAGAAAATCCTTGTGAGAAAGTGTATAAACAATTCAGTTCAAAAAACAATGACTCAGGTAATCAGATAAGACACATGGCTTGTTTAATTCAGGTATCTCCATGTTCCTCTTTAGATTGATGAGCCTCTAATCAAAGGTAGAAACTCAGCTGCGATTTATTAAGATGAATATAACAACACGTTGGTACTTGCTTCACATAATTCAGTTTTGCAGTATATTGATGAAAACGTGATGTGTCATAGTCATATTTCTTGGAATATTTATATGAGTCTATCATGTACGTAATTGACAGGATTTCTGCCGAGGAAATAAGACATTACGTCAATACATTTGATGAATGATCTCACCTGATGTATTCCCGTAAAATATAACTTCTGTTGAAATTCACGATTATATTCCTTACTCAGGCATTTATGTGGTTTTACCTGATATATTCTGCTGCTCATTCATTTGAAGATGGGTGATTAGCAATTTGGCCATCTCTGCTTGTGGGCTTGTTTTCCCAAGTATTGTATATTTTTTCAGTGTAACTATATATTCTACATTCTTTTGTGGGGCTTCAGCCATGCGTAAGAGCTGATATGTTTCTTGGAAGAAAGAGATGTTACCTTTTTGTAAACATAAACAAAAGAAGCTGTTATTGGGTGGTATCAAGAGTTTTCTTGTACAGCATTGCTGATTGATGTGAGCAAGTGTCAAGTTGTCTGTTGTGGCCTTGTCTAGTTAATAAGTATAACCTTGTTTATAAATGTGTAACCTTTTCTGTAAGTGCAGCCTTATTTATATAAGTGCAACCTTGTACAAGTGCAACTTTGCACACTAGCAACTTTGTCTGTATAAGTGAACCCTATAATGTCTGCATGTGCTGCCTTGTCTGTACAAATTCAACTTTTCTTGTTCAAGTGCAAACTTAGGTTCTCAAGTACTTCATTGTTACCAGTGCAACAATGTACATGTACAATTTTGTCTGTACACATGCAGTCTTCTTTGTTTAAGTGCAATCTTTTCTGTCAAGTGCAATATTGTCTGTGCAAGTGCAATTTTATCTATACAAATACAACCTTCTTTATTCATGTGCAATATTGTTTGTACAAGCGCAGCCTCGTCTATATAAATGCAACCTTCTTTATTCAAGTGCTAAATTGTCTGTACAAGTGCAACCTTGTCTATACAAATGCAACCTTCTTTGTTCAAGTGCAACCTTGTCTGTACAAGTGTAACCTTGTCTTGTAAACCTTGATTGCGCATAAACAACCTTATAATATACATACACACATACTTTTGTTAGACAAGTGCTAATTATGAATATAAGTAAAATGTTAGTAAAATTGCAATCTTATTTGTAATTTACAGCAAATTTTCACCTTATTTCAGGTATTAATTGCAATTAGGTTTCTGGTGATATTCAGTCAGAATGAAATGGAGAAGCTCGCATAATTTACATCTTAATGATAGAAGTACTATAAAAGTCTTGATTATTGACAACTAGATGAAAAATATAGGGGTGGATTTCTACATCTGCATATGTTGTAGACACACAGACATGTTCTAGCTGTCAGATAGGGGAGAAAGTCATCTTCTACTGGATGAAATATTGGAAATTTTCCTTTTTGAAATATACCCCTCGGCAATACATAGGAATTCACAATTCAGAGTAAAACCCTTATTGATGGGTCGTTAGAGTATTCAGATATATTTTTGACATGAAGAAGTACTCTCTGAAGAAATACACATTATTGCTGAAGGTCTTTAGTCTTAGTTACAACATCTTATCATAAGGTTACCCCCTGTAGTTTTGACTTGAAGTCTTTGTTATAAAAATGACAATATTTCAAATGTGTTTCATTTTAGTGAGGTGATGACATTGTTTTAGCTCCTATTTTTGTGACTTACATTCAGCAGTCTGTGTCTGTAACTATGTGTTACACTTTTGTAACCATTTGTAACAACTTACCTAATTTTGTCATTTTAACTTGACATTTTATCATGTTAATGC